TTCTTCTTGTTGATAAATTAGTTTTTGTTGTCCCCATGTTGTCATTTGTAGGATTTGAAGTTAGGGTTTACTGTTGAAGAATGCAAACGTCCCGGATGTCTGCGAATTCACGCCCAATGAACTCCACGAATTCAAGTGGGTTTGAAAGTCATGGTAGTAGGTATTTTGTTCCCTATTGCCATTGCGGAGAGGTTGCTGTGTTGCGAACAACAATGACATCTGCCAATGCTGGTAAAAGATTCTGGGGTTGTCCAAATTACAAGGTATGTAATGTAAATTAATTAAATTAATTTAGCCCTAATTGCTGATTTTGTGGTTTTGTTTATTTGGTTTTAAAAATTTGTAGTTTGGTGATGCTGAACAACAAGGATGCAACTTTTTCAAGTGGTCTTTAGAGGAATATGTGGATGAAAGGGATTTGTTGGTAGCTAGGCAGAGGAGAAAGATGAACAATCTCCAGAGTTCTTTGAAGTCAATAAGATGGTGGATGAAGTTGTTGATAATTGTTGTTATTTTTTTGTTGTTGTTGAATTTGGTTTTAATGTATGTAATTTGTAACAACTTGGTTCAATTTGGAAGGGTGTTTTATTTGAAGTAGTGAAATATGGTGTTTTGTATTTAAAGACACCTTTTGGGATATTGTTGATGGTTATTTTTGTAATGTTGGTTTAATTGCAATGGAATTATCAAGAATTAGTAATGATAGTATTGTAGCATTGCCTGAAGTTTAAATTTAATGGTTTGTTTTTAAGATTAAAACCATCAGTGCAACAAGTATGAATGTCAAAGCATACCAAAATTCATAAACATACATATATTAAGGTTTAAGTTTTTAAAGACTTTAATACATATGGTATGAAATTTGAAGGAGTTAAATATATATGCTAAGAAAGTTCAAAGACTAAACAAGAGAAAATGATAACATAAATTGGATTTAGGATTTATAGGATTTAGGTCACTGATGCCGTGTCAATCACGGGTGTGATTGTAAATCACGGCCATGATTCTCACGGGTCTGGTGGGTTGAAGTTAACATGTTTATATTGTGACTTATAACAGAGGGAATCACGGGCGTGATTGTGAATCACGGCCGTGATTCTCACGGGTCTGGCGGGTTGAAGTTAACATGTTTATATTGTGACTTATAACAGAGGCAATCATGACCGTGATTGTAAATCACGGCCGTGATTCTCACTAGTAGGACTTAACGTAAATCTTATTCTGACGGGTTGGACTTAATATGTTTGTGATTATGATGGGTTGGACTTAAAATGTTTCTTTATTACGGCTTTGACTTAGTTAATATTGTCAATTACCATACTTAGTTAATAGTGTCATTTACCAGACTTAGTTAATAGTCTCATTTACCACACTTTGTCATATTGTTTGGCATTCTGATATTCTTGCATTTGAAAAAACTATATAAAAAAAAATGATCATAATAATAACATATTGCATTTGTTGAAATATAAGTAGCCAACTATTGTAAATCACAATAATAATAGTCTCCTACATTAAGTATTGTCATATGATGACCAATTAATATTGTGATGCAAAACATAATCTCAAAAGTCTGCTACATCATAAGTCACCAATACAGTTTAAAAACTAAAAATTTTAAACCCTAAACACTAAAACCAACAAGCAACAATCTTCAACTTTGTCATGGTTTTCAGTGTGGTCGTGCTTTCCTAGGCTTCAACTTCTCCCTTGGTTGGGCCGCCTCAGATGCTTGTGTGGGTTGAGATACCTGGGTGGGCTGAGATGGTTGTGTGGGTTGAGATACCTCGGTGGGTTGAGATACCTAGGTGGGCTCATTTGGATGGGTGGGCTGAGATACCTGGGTGGGTTCAGATACCTGGGTGGGCTCAGATGGTTGGGTGGGGTGATGTGTTTGAATTGGGTTTTCCTTACAGGTTGATTTGTTATGGCCAAAACTCTTGCACCTACTGCACTTTCTCCTACATCCCCTCCTTGTCAATTCAGTGTCATCCTTCTTCAGTTCCCATGGCTCCAAATTCCTTCTTTTCTTAGGGCGTCCTGGCATTTTCTTACATGGTGGTGGAAGAACATCAGGGCACCATGTCTTGTTCTAGAGTTGCTGACCATTTATTGGATATATCATTGATTGATATACAACTTCATATGTTGCCCTCTTGTAATATTCTGGCACAAAAACCTTTGGATCCAAATTCATATACCTCATACATGATATAGCATGGCAGCAGGGCAACCCAGTCAACATCCATTTTCTACAGCTGCATTCCTGCACTTGCAAGTTGATAGTATATTTATCTCCTATCAAGTTGACATTTTTGACCTCAAAAACTTGCTCTCCAGCCCAACTGAAAATAATATGTTAACTCATTATAAACCAATAATGGGTTAATATAAACAATTCAAACCATGTGAAATATACCTTGGTATCCACCATTTGCTGAAATTACTTTCCTTTTCAATCTTCTTTAATATTTTAGGAAGAATATCTCCTTGATGTAATGTGATGTTTTTCCTATTTTTAGCCCATCTGTTCATCAAGTACAATTGCATGTCTTCTAACATGGTAACAATAGGTTTTTCTCTAGCATCAACAATGACTGAGTTAAATGCCTCACTCATGTTGTTAACCAAAACATCACATTTAGGATTTGGCTTGAACCTTGACTTGCTCCAATACCTGAAACCAATAACATATAAACAATTATTTGAATAAAGGCATAAACTACAAGTTATGAAACAATGTACGGGTCAGTGGGGCCAATATATGCACAACACACAACAACATTTTTCGGGCCACACAACAACGTGAAACCACTCCACTCCAACAAGATTTATTCATACAGGAACCAAAATAAACCACAAATTGCCACCAACGCATTCTTTGGGACCACACCAAAACCAACGAACCCAGTGTTTGGGACCACACCAAAAGCAACGAACCCAGTGTTTGGGACCACACCAAAACCAAAATCTTTCCAATAAACATCAAAACGCAACTCATAACCCAGGCCCACTCTTACCCGTAGCCCTAAAGTGAACCCAACAAGACCCTTTAATCAAAAAAACCATAAACAAAGGACTTACCCGATTAGAACAACACACAAACGTCGCTTCTTCTTCTTCAATGCATGCGCCTTCTTCTTCTTCTTCAAAACCCTAAGAAAAACTTTATCTCCAAACCAATGAATCAGACTTCTCTCATCTCGGTTTTCTCTTCTCTCTCTCGCGGTTTTGGCACAAAAAATACTCTTTCCACGTTGAAAATCCACGTCAGCATTAATTACAATTATCACATTTTAATTTTTTTCCACGTGGAAAAAATTCAAACGCCGTTAAAGAAATTTTGACGGAGGGACCACATTGAAACCAATTAATTTATTAGAGACTAAATTGAAATAAATTAATTAGTTTGGGACCAAATTGAAACCAAAAATAAAAGTGGGACTAAATTAAAACAAAAAATTATTATAAGGGACCAAATTAGATTTTTAGCCTATATATATATATATATATCGCAAATGTTGTTCCAAAATACCCTACTCCTAAAAAACAAAAACGAAATTAAATTTTTTTTTTTCATTTTAAAATCAGTGTTATCTAATCAACTCCAACAACAAACCAAGTGAAGTCGCAACCTCTGCGTGCAAGTTCCTTCTTCTGCACTTGTCCAACACTCTCACTCTCACAACCATGGATTTGCTCTCAATCTCCCCTTCCCACCCTTCACCTTCCCTTCGCACCCTTTCCCCAAACTCAAAGCCACCCATTTCCTCTTTCAACCCTAAACCCTCTGTCTCCCATTCACGTTTCTCCAAACCCATCACAACCCCACCAAGGTGCGTCTTCACGCCCTCTCCAATAATCCCCTCCAAAAACCCCGACTTTCCCTCCCAATCTCCAAAACCCACTATCACTTTTCAGTTCTCCGCCACCCAGACGCCGGCGACGGCGTCCAGAGCCGCCGAGGGCGACGCGATGGGGCTGTTGCTGAGGGAGAGAATCGTGTTCCTCGGCAGCCAAATCGACGACTTTGTGGCTGATGCTGTCATGAGCCAGTTGCTGCTGTTGGATGCCCAAGACCCCACTAAGGATATCAGGCTCTTCATTAATTCCCCTGGTGGCTCTCTCAGGTTAGATGAGGTTTTTGTTTTGTTTTGTTTTTTTCATTTTTTTAATGGTATTGTGTAGATGATAAAGTGGGTGGGTTATTTGGTAATAGAAGATTAAAGGGTGGGAGTAAAAATACCTTTTTTATTAATAGAAATTTTGAGAGAAATAAGGGTATAGGTGATTAGGGATAGATGGGAGTTATAGTAGAAGGGGCTAGTCCCCCATAATATGGCAAACAAAACCAAGGTTCGAATTTTCACTTAGAGAGGTGTTCACATTTAGTGTTTGATGTGACATAATAATATAATATGGCAACCCGAGGTTCGAGTTTTTACTTGGAGAGGTGTTCACATTTAGTGTGTATGACTGTGTGTAGAATAGGTTTGTGATTGTCTGAAGGATGATATATATGGGGAACCAATGAAAGAAAAATGTTTAATTACTGCTTGTTTCTAGTGGTTACATGGTGGTTATTGGTAACCAAATGCTTAATTGGTGATACTGCTACTAGTACTACTTGAAGCTTGCTCTGAATGAAGTGACATAAACACCGTTCTATGTTTAATTTGGGATGGTCCATTTGTGTGTTTCTTGTGGATTTCTGATAGTATTATGGTATATGTCAATGCTTCACTGGGTTGTTAGCGGTGAAAGTCCTTTTGTTTTCCTGCCAGTTGTTTATAGTATTCAATATTTATACTGTTCGATGGTTTTGAAATGTTGATGATATTATTTCTCTAGTTTAGTTGGGGCATTGCAAAGATTTTTGCTGTAGTGTTTTGCTTGTAACTTTTTCCTTGAGTTTGCTGTTTTAGAAGGACTTATTGTCCCTTGACTGAGAAATTTTAGGGTTCCTGTGGCTTATGTTTTTGTTTTCTATTGATATGTTTTTACTAATAATTGCAAACATGTCACCTTGTCTCATGAAAGCAGAAAACAAAGTAGCATTTAGTAATTATTAGTGAAAACATACAAACTAATTTGAAACCGAAAACAAACTGAATACACTATTATCTGTTATCTAAGATCCTGTTTATTTGAATACACACATGAACCAAACTGGGAAGCACCGAGGACTTGTTAGCTGAAATCTTGAATGGGAGGTCCATTGACTCAAGGTGTAGAAGAGTCAATCTATTTGGCATTTGACCTTGATTTTTTGTTTAGTTCTTTTCTGCCACGGGCTACTGATGATTTATGTTATGTACTTGAAGAAACTGAATACAATCAATACATCAATATTTGTGTTCCTGGTAGGAAAGTGTCTAAACTATGTTTGCTAAAGTGAAGTAGAAAAATATATACAGAATATGCCTTCAGTTTTCTCATTTTGTCATTTCTCCACCTTTTTTTGCCTTTTTTTTCCTTATTAATTTTTCCACTGAAATCCAAACCTACTCAAGTATAACTCATATGCATTTGCTATACAGAAATACCAAACCTTGAGCAGTCATGCATTTGCAACTTTGAAGCATGTATGCCAAAAGAAAGAGCCATGCTCGTATGGTCATATTTAACTTTTATTAGGCAACATACTCCTATACAATACTTGTAGGACCAAAAAATGATGTATTTCAATATTTGACAATTGTTACATGCAATTAAAACATGGTTTAGGCCTTTAAGGTTTACTAGGCACTAGTCTTATTAAATTATATTTTTATATGCTCCTTTGTTTTTTTTACACCCACAGATATAATCTTATGTGAGAAATGAGAGGAGTGAATCTTGATTGTTAGATTTGTACAAATGATTGAGTTCCAGATTAAAACATACGGTTGTCACATACAGTCATTTTAAAATGGTTCATGACTTGATGTTTTAGCCTTGTGATCTTGTCTATTCAGACATATCTAATAATCTAGATTCTTTTCATTTTTCACATAAGATTGATCTTCACGCACACACATATGTATCTCCATTTGTCTATGATATGTTGTATCCTCAATTCCTTGGTGGCTAGTATTTTTTATTTTGCCATGCTACTGCCTGCCTCTATTGTGTTCATGTGGATACTACTTCTATGCTTCTTAAATTAAATTTAAACTATTGAAAACTGGTCAAAGGAGTAAAAACACTTAAATTTCACAGAAACCTGACATTGTCTGATTTGAGGTACACTTCAAATAATTCTATTCCATATGGAGAATGACTGAATGAGACAAAGTTTGGGTTTTGTCGACAATTTATAAGTTTTCAAGTTTCAACTATAAGTTATAAGTTTGGTCATCAATTGACAAATTAATTTTCAACTATGCTGAAGGGTGTATTTGTATAAAAGAGGACTGTTAAAAACACACTCTGTTGGTTGAAATTTGTTAGAAATCACAAATTTTGGTGGATCTCATTTATAAATTAGGAGAGAGACTTATTAATTAAGAAGTAAGACCCATCCTCTAAAATTTGTGATTTCCAATAAATTTTAATCAATAATAGAGAAAGGAATTGATGCCTTTTGTAGACAATCCTAGCACCAAAATGGTTGTATGATGCCTTTTATCCTTTCATTTTCGTAGTGTTTATTTCATTTACATTATATTCATCGATCCAACTTTTCTACTTTTACAAGTTATGTGCTTTAGGGGCTTCAAATTGGTAATTGGTCATCTTTATTTTCCAGGAAAAAAACAGATATCCCCTTCCATTATGTCCCATTTTCACATTACTTGTGGTTTGATCATTGGTGAAAGGTCGACTTTTCCCTCAAGTGATGGTATTTTAACTGCAGCATGCCACCATGTTTTATCTTGTATGTTGCAATGGAATTATTCTGTGATTAAACCCCAGCTGCATGCCCCTTGAAATCTCCAAATTATTTGTAAAAGATTTAAGTCCTTTTATCCCATGTCTTCTGAAATCATGTCCCCTTCAAGAAAAAAAATGTCTGATCTCTAAAAAAACCTCAGTTTTTGGAGATTTTAGGATGTAGGGACTTGGATCTTCTGCTACAAATGATTTGGGCAATTCACTTTAACTGTGTGTTATGTTCGCTATTATTTATTATTTGGTGCCTATTTTTGGAGACAAATGCTAAGTTTTTCAAGGTTAGCTAATTGTATTGGCATCTGTAATCTAATAAAGTGGTTTCTTAGTCTCTTCATGGTTTCCCGTATAATGATTACTTCAAAAGAGTGACTTTGGTGTATGTGCAAAGAGAATGGAGACCTCCACTTTGGTGTAGAGTTTTCTCTTCAGCTATTATTTATATTTTTGGTTACTTTTGCTTTTATACTCTTCTCTTTTTCCTTCTAGTAACTATGGCCGTATCAGAAACAAAAGCTTGTTGCTCTTATGGTTTTCCTACTCTTTTGGGCTGGATTAGTAGTGCTGATTAAACTGAAATGTTCTCTTTGGTGTTGGGTTCACAAATTGGTCCCTTATTGACAAATTGGAAGTTTGTATAGAATATAGGTTTGCTTGGAGTTATGTTGTGTCTTATGGCTTTCTTTTGTCAAGTTGTCAAATAGCAATTTTTTCTGCATGGTGTGCATTTCATTGCAAGTCTTTGTTCTGTTTGATACCGTACATTCTTTTTCGTTGTTTATTTACTTCATTTGTTTATAATTTAGTGCTACGATGGCTATCTTCGACGCTGTCCAGCTAGTGAGGGCCGATGTTTCCACCGTTGCACTTGGCATTTCAGCGTCAACAGCATCTGTTATCCTTGGTGGTGGCACCAAGGGCAAGCGCTTTGCCATGCCAAATACACGAATTATGATTCACCAACCTCTTGGAGGTGCTAGTGGACAAGCTATAGATGTAGAAATTCAGGCTAAAGAAGTTATGCACAACAAGAACAATATCACAAGAATTATATCAAGTTTCACTGGACGCTCATTTGAGCAAGTGCAGAAAGATATTGACAGAGATAAATACATGTCTCCAATTGAAGCAGTTGAATATGGAATTATTGATGGTGTAATCGATAGAGATAGCATTATTCCTCTCATGCCAGTGCCAGAAAGGGTGAAATCAACACTAAACTATGAAGAAATAAGTAAAGATCCCAGGAAATTCCTTACTCCAGATATCCCAGATGATGAGATATACTAGCTTTAAATGATTGAAATTGGTATATCCTTGAATTCTAAGATGTTACGGTGATAGCAATATACAACATTTTGGGTAAAGCTTGAGGATGTTGTAACAAACCCTGAAAGATGTAGGATTGTCTTGCATTTTTAACATTGTTTCGTGTGGGTGAGTGAAAATTATGGTTCGGTTATGGAGAAAATTGTTGGTTATCATTGTCTTGATTGTTTCTTCATTAAAGCACGTAACTAGCATTTTTCTTATTAATAAAAAAATAACTTGTTGCCAAGGTTCCCCATTTTTCTTATTAATTAACAAATAATTTGTTTCAAAGGGTCAACGGTGAGTTCCGTACCTCCAAAAACTAATTCAGGGAGGGTAAGGGGAGGTACTTTTATTATACATTTTGACGTTTGGTTCAAAGTTTTGGAGAAGTGAAAGAATATTTTCACACTATTTTGGTTTCCTTAGAACATTGGGTGGGAATTTGGAAGGAAATTTTTTCACTAAATTATTAACTTCAAAAGTAAATTTGTTTTTCTTTCTTTCTCATTTCTTCCTCTTGTAATTCAAATAAGGCGTTTATGTAACAAAAATAAAAGGCATTCTTACTAATCCTCACAATTGAAATAAAAGTAATTAAAGTTAAATATAAGCTATTAACACCAATAAGCTATGGATAATTTTGGGTAGTTGTAGAATTGTAGAAGTCGAAAAAAATTACAAAATATAATTAGGGAATGAATATGTTCATATAAAAGTGGATACAAAAGGTAATTATAAAAAGTGATATCATTTTTATTAACAATATAAATAAGATTATACATAAAACATGTTTTATTAATGTTACAAATTTCTTGTTACTAAATTCGATTTTAACAGATAAAAAATGTTTACTAACTCCATCAGACGATTTTACAATACTATTAACAGATGAAAAGGCTAGGACTAAATTGAAAGTATTATACTCGAAAATAATTATAGTATAAAGATTAAAATAAATATTGTATTTTATTATGGGGGGAAGGGGGAATGTCAATAATGATGGATACTGTAGTGTATGTCAACCTTTGTCAGCAATGAAACAAAATGGTGCCGACTCATCAAGAGTGGAGCCTTTAGTTTGCAAATGGTGATTAATTTACTTGAATAATTAATGATAAGCCATAACTTTCAGTGGCTGTCACACCTTCAAAAAGAGTAGCCTTGTCTTCTTTTGCTCAAAAATTAGGTAAACATTGCCGGATGAATCAAATATTCCCATCTATTATGCCATTTCATAGTTTGACTCTCATATTCAAACTTCAAACTAAAATATATATTGACAATCAAACTCTGTCCATTTCTTTGCACTAATTATGCCTGCACGATAGATAATATATTCCATTTTTTATGTTCTCACATTGCTTCAACGAGCAGCAGTTGAAACAAGCAAACTACCACAACGGTTATGACATACAATGAGGTTCATGTTAGCTATAATTAAGTTCCACAATAATCCATAATTAGCTTATATATAATTCAAATTAACTGGAAAAGACAAGTTATATATATTTTCTTGTAGTCATAGACATCTTCAAGGACACTGTTTATTTGAAGACTCTCAGTCAATTGGCTATCTACTATGAAGCATGGATATATACTTTTGTTTTTTCTCTTACATGTATTGATCTAGATATAATATCAATATTTGATACTCTTACATATTTTATTGAGCAAGTTTTGGGAGAAGGTAGTGTATATTTGGATTGACATTGGAAAGTCATAGATCATATGTTCACACATTCTAATACTTCAACCGGTAAAGTAATTATACCTATGGATGAAAAAAAGTGAGTTACATTTAATTCAACATTGTTTTTCTTCTAAGCAAACACTTATTCAATGCTACTAAAGTTATATAAGAGACATAAAAACATATATAATGTCTTCTTTTTTTCTCTAGTGCAAAAATGTCTTTTTACATCATAGTGATATTTTTGCAATTTAAAATAATTTTTTAAACTTTATTCTCAAATAACCGATGTAAAGAACTCTTTTTAAACCAATTCAAATTAAAATCGATGAAAAAAAAGAGGTTTTTACATCGAATTGAACTGATATAATATGTCTCTTCAACTTAATTTATGAGTTTAGAATTTTGTATATATTGCTAAACTCTAATAGCTAGGTTAAACATATGTTATATATAAACATAAAAGTATTTTTTAAGGATAAAATGAAAATCCCTTAAAAAAAATGGATAAAAAAAAAAATTATTCTTTTTATATAGATGGTCAAGAAAGAAATAATGAGATTTATACTATTCTTATTTGTAAATAATGAGATTTATACTATTCTTATTTGTAAATAATGTGATGGATTTATGATATGACAAGTGATTTATTATGATAATGTCTAAAAAGTATGTTCTTAGTATAGATTCGCAGAGTTACAATTATGTATTATTATTTTTATAAATTTGCATAGAATAAATATATCATTGTATTCTATATATATATTTTTTAAAAATGTATTACTGTATAGATATCGTATCAAATACATTGCATCATATGCTATGAAGGATATATGCAAGTAGCATATTGATTAATTTGCCTGCAAGAGAGTTGCATGATTAGGATTTAGGAGATGCGCTTAATCATGTTCTCTTATTTAATTTTTGTTCCACAATTAAGTAATTAACCAAAATTGATGTTGCAAGCAGCCAGGCTGCGGGTGATATAATTGCTTGTTTTAATACGTATTTTTCCACAATGATGCATCACTCAATTATATATAATAATCTTTCATCTGTATGTACGTGTATGTTTGTAACTATGCATTCAATATATTTTATTCTGTCGAAATTTGGGTAGGAATAGGAAGTATTAATAATCATAACCACAATTTTGATGAGGGTTTTATTTTATCATTATATTGTTCAATTTTTTTATAAGATATTAATTATGGTCTTATCATATGTGATTATTCATTTCATTGTCTTGATAAAAAGAAAAGAAAGGTATGGCTTACCCCCAAACATAAAATGGCTAAATTGACTATGAATGTGAAAAATAAAGTTAATGTAACTTTTTTTTAGTATTTTTTTATCAGTAAAATAGTAACTAAGCAGACGAGAGTCATTTCACCTATAACCTATAAAACTACTTTTAATATAAATTTTAAAGTATTTAACTATACTAATTAAAAAAATAAGAAAATTAAAGAGATTGCCGCTCACACTAATTATTTTATCAATCAACAAAGTGACAACACTACAAGTTATTAATTGAAAAGGATAATTCTACTTCTACATAAATCTTATAGTAAAGTTTACAATTTTGAAAAAAGATAAAAATGAACAATAGATAAATATAAAATAAGATAAGTGATGTAATAAAAAGAGATTGAGATAAAAATAATTGTAAAAAAAATGTTGTCAACAAAGCATTACTCATTTAAAAAAGAATCAAAGTCATGCAATTACAAATTTAATAAGATTACAAAATAATTAAGCCAAAACGTATTGATAAAAAAGTACCCCTAAATGACATTATTTTGTTGACTTTCTTGTCATACAGATTACATGCAAACTATGTCAACTGTTCCCCCGGATTCACGTATACACATAGATCTAGAATGATATTGTTTTTAAAATCAAAGGTGCATTTATCCTTAAATATTAGGGTTTAATATACACAAAGATCTAAATAATACTGTTTTTAAAATCAAAGCTGCATTTATCCTTAAATATTAGGGCTTAATGTGCATTGTTAGTGTAAAAATTTAAACAATCAATAAAAAATTACAGTTTATATATTTTTAAGATAATTATTATAAAAATTAATAAATTTATCATGTACATAAATTATGATCAAATGATTATGTAAAATTATTTAACTGTTAATGCATTACATTAAACTCTAAATATTAAATGGATAAAATTACAATACACTAAAAGTTAAATAAAAAATATTACATCTTTATTTTTATGCTTTAAAATACAAAAACAATATTATTTACTAACTGTTTAGTATAGGAGTAATCTCTTTATAAGCTTAGTTTTTATTTAACAAAAATTAAACCATTGAGATTTATAATGTGAGTTTATATTAGTAATATAAACTATTATGTTCAGTTTAGTGGTGAGGTTGAAATAATAATATGCACAAAATTTTATATTCAAATATTTTTCTCATCATTATAATTTCTATTCATAAAAATTACTAATAGTATGATATATTATGCCAATAAATAATTCAGTTTATATCATTGTATGTAATATTAATATTAAAAACAACTACATTAACATAGTAATGGAGAAGCGTTGATAGTATTTCTTGTGATCTCTATTATAAGTAAAATAAGACACATTTTTTTTCTTAAATATAAGTAAATTTAATTATTTTTATCTCATGATACCCTCTCTAAAATATCTCTTCTTTAATGTATAATTTTTTTTTCAGTTATACTATTTTTTTTAACATTTATAATAAAATAATTTAGAAAAAATATTATAAAAATAATAAAATTTAATGCAAATAACTAACTTTCTTAATATACATATAATCATATTTGTTTACTTATAATAGAGAATAGAATAAAGACAAGAATGTTGTAATTGAGAATAAAAATGTTATAAGTACATGAACTATTAAGTTAGTGTGCGATAAATATATGAAAATTTATGTTTAATTTTTATTGCTGTCATTATTTTATTGATATAAAAAATATTATGATTACATGACACTTTACTAGACTTAATATGAATTTCTTTCATATTCTTCCCTTTTTACTTTTACATCGCTACACACAATACATTGGATTGAATTGATCATACAAAAAAGATGTTGTAAATGTTAAAAATCAAGGATAACATAAAATCTTAAAAATACTCTCAAATATCAATATTTTTTATATCCGTAAAAATTATAATAAAAACAACATAATTTAAATTTAAGATTCGAGACGTACTATTCTAACTCTTCACTACTCTTCTCAATTTAAATTACTATATATATATATATATATATATATATATATATATAAATACAAGTTTGAACTCATGTGAGTAATAATCTTTTTTTTTTCCCGTACTTGTGTGAGCTAAGTTACACCAACCTCTTCATTTTTTAACTTCTCCCCTGTGCTCTCACAAAATGATGGAATTGCAAATTTGCAAGGCACACATACAAAGAACTTGAAATGTAAAGCATTTTTGTGCAACTAATCATAAGACACGA